AGCAGACCACCACCCATCAGCAGTTCACAAGGAGACAGAAAGGACACGCGACAGATCCCCAAAGTTAGTTACACTCAGAGTTGGTTACTTTGTAGCCAGAGGATATTCCCTCCATGATATCTTCTAGAGTTAGTTACCCTGGAATCAGAGGGTATTCCCTCTATGATTACACCTGTAGGCCAGCTATATAAGGCCATAMTCATATAATAAAAGGTGTGAATGAATATCCCTTCGTTTTCTCTCTCTGAGTCCATCCTCTTCCTAGCTTCCCTTCTCTTCTTTCCCTTCATCTTCTGTTTCAGGAGGTTAAACCACCCTCGAAGGGGCTTCCGAGGTGAGCGGTAACTCATCAGAGTGCTCAGGTAGGTGTATTAACTCATAAAAGGGTAATGAAAATCGGTAGAAAGGGCTTCAAATAGTAGCACATGAAAATTGTAATTCCTCAAGGAAAACTTCGTTTTTTTCTCCTGCATTTTGGAGTCCTTTTTTTCTCTCGCCCAAAAAGAGAGGTAAGGTATTGTTAGAGTCAGCAATCAAGAGGGTATTTTAACCTTTCTACTCTGTTATTAGAAGTTGCACTGTCTCTTTTATCTTAGTTTAAGTTATGTGTGCCATACATAATCAGGGACGTAAAAGTCTTTGTACACCAAAGTCCAAAATATATAAAATAAGAAGGTGGTCGGTTGGGAGAGTGTGAATTTTCTCTCCAGCCAATTCTCTCTATTCTCTTCCTCTTCTCTTTCTCTCTTTTATCTAAACTAGAACTGAACCGGTGCTAACCGAATACCCAGGAGTTTTTTATTTCATTTCTGAAGTACCCGGGAGTTTTTTCATTCTATTTAAACCAGATCATGACAACTTTGGAATTTCCTTCGACCACTAGCTTCCTCACCCCCATTTCCACTGCTTTTTCCACCCCAAACACCACTGCACTCAATTCCATTGTTGTGGAATCTCCTGTTCCAATAGGGCCTGAATATACTCCCACAATTTCTTGTCTTTCGTTTCTAACCACCCCCCCCCCCCCTATTCCAGAAGAATCCGGATTTCCAAAGCTACTTCCATCAAAGTTTAGTTTAAGGAAACCTAACTGAGGAAGACCCCAATCCCTTAATATTCTCTTCTTGGAGGAGGATGAGGCTGCAACTGTTCCCCAATTCCTGATTACATCATTGAAGGTAAAGTCTGAGAACAAACTCAAAGATTTTACCCAATGTGCCACTTTTACCATAATCTCTTATATCAAAGCTTCCTTATTTCTTTTCTTCTCCTCAAAGATTCGCAGGTTTCTTTCCTCCTATAGTGTCCATATCACTGCTGACCCCATGCATCTCCAAAGTATTCTCCCCCTTATTTTTGGCTACATTGAAGTAGAAGTATCAAACAACCTATCCAACCTGTCAGGAGCGTTCCACCTGCAACCATAGAGTGAGAAAAACCGACCCCAAATACAACAAACAAATGGGCAGGAAATGAACAAACGATAAGAAGTTTCACTGTTTGATTCACACAAATAGCACCAATTTGGGGAAAGGCACCAGCCAGTCTCTTACTTTATAACAAATCGCAGGTATTAATTGCACCATGGAAAATCTCCCAACAAAAAGCATCCACTTTGGGGGCAATAGGCAGACACCAAGCTTCTTTAACCAGGAATGGCACAACAGGTGAGTTAGAGGATGACAAGGCCTTGAAAAAGGAGGCACAACTGAATACCCAGAAGGATGAAGAGTCCAAAGTCTACTGTCTTTCTTACTGGTATCAAGCCAAAAACCCCATCAAGAACTTGCAAGAGATTTGAAACAAGGCCCAATTCTGAACCCTCACATTTCTGTGAAGCCCCAAATTCCACCCAAACCCAAAGAGAGAGAGAGAATGGATTAAGAAGTCAGAGACTGCCTTGCCTTTAAAGGAAGAAAGGGAAAACAGTGATGGAAATAAAACCTTCAAAGGAGTTTCAACCACCCACACGTCTTCCCAAAACTTTATTTCGTTACCAAAGTTAAGCTCAAACCTGACATGATTGAGGAAAAGCGGAAGAATCTTCTGAACTGCTTTCCATGGTGAAGCACTAGAAGCCTTGTACAAATTCCAGCATCCCAACCATTCTGTGAGAGCCCATGAATGTTAAGCACTACATTGTGCCACAACCTATCTGCTTCCCACGGGAAGCACTGAATCGACTTTCATCCTTCACTCCTCTTCCTTCAGGGAAGCACACCATTCGCTTCTTAACAGCTCAAATAAACTCCATAAGTGCCACAAAACTTCCGCTACTATTCCTCTTACTCTCCAGAACATACCTCCTCTCAGTAGCTTCTTTCATCTCCTTGCATTCCAACTACCTTCTTGATTGCATCGCCTCAGCAACAAAGTCCCTTACCCAGTCAATTATCTCCTCCCTTACCAGAAAGACCAAGGCCACTTTCTTCTCCCTAATTTTCAGGGTAATCTTGCCCTTCACCCCGAAACTCTCGACCAGCAATTATTTGGCTCCAAACTTCAAAAATCTCCTCCAACCAGTTAGATGTTCGAACTCACCATTCATACTCAAAGCTTTTCGTTAGGCATGTTATTTTAGGATTTCATAGGAGATGTGAATCAGTCCTTGAGAACTGATATAAACTTGGTAAAAATTAGAGAGAAAAGAAGAAGAAAAATAGAGAACAGCAGCACAAAAGAAGAAGATGGAGAAAAGAAGAGAAAGAAGAAGAAGAGTCGAATTATCTCTTCCCTCCCTTCTCTAATCCTTTTGTTAAACTTCAATCATTAGGCTAATTACAAGTATGCCCTTAAGTGGGCGGCCGGCTAGGCAGTAACATAAAGAGAACTTACAAAAAAGAAATAGCATGCCCAAAAAGATAGGCCCATTAACAAACAAATAAATAAATAACATAGTACAAGAAAAGGTACTAGGGCCCATTCGGCCCAGTCTCTCTACACTCCCCCTCAAGCTGAGCATAGATGTCAATCACGCCCAACTTGCTTATATAGTGTGTCAGCTTCCCCCTAGGAACTCCCTTGGCCAAAACATCAGCCAACTGTTCTTCTGAGGCGATGAATGGCAAGCAAACTTCCCCTAAGGAAACTCTTTTCCGTATAACATGTCTATCAACCTCAATGTGCTTAGTTCTGTCATGTTGAACAGGATTATGTGCAATATTGATAGCTGCATGGTTGTTGTTAGAATGTTAGAGTGATGTTCGGCTGATAAGAGTTCTTATTAGCCCATTCTTATGTTTAACTTATCTTGTAACTGGGCTTGTGTTAATGGGCCTAATCCTG